CGCCGGGGATGGGCGCGAGCGCGGGCCGGGGGCCGGTGTGGGGACGGTGACTCAGCACGGCCACCTCAGAGCCAGCTCATCCCGCTGCGGAGCGCACACGTGTGCGGGAAGGGGGGTTGCAAACTGCTCTGGATCCCGGTGGCTCATGCGCCGCTTTCCTGTCCGAGTGACAAGCACTTTGCAAGGAAACCGATTGCATCTCAGCACCTCCTCGCTCACCACCCGTTGCCTCCCAGCGAAGGGAAGCGAATGGGAAAAGTCCCAAAAGTCAGCACCGTGGTTGGGTGCAGCGTGCAACATGGCTCATTGCAGGGTGTAACATGGCTTGTTGCAGTGTGCAACATGGCTCGTTGCAGTGTGCAACATGGCTCATTGCAGCAGGCAACATGGTTCGTTGCAGCAGGCAACACGGCTCGTTGCAGGGTGTAACATGGATCATTGCAGCATGCAACATGGCTCATTGCAGGGTGCATCATGGCTTGTTGCAGTGTGCAACATGGCTCGTTGCAGCAGGCAACATGGCTTGTTGCAGCAGGCAACATGGCTCATTGCAGCGTGAAACATGGCTCGTTGCAGTGTGCAACATGGCTCGTTGCAGGGTGTAACATGGCTCATTGCAGCAGGCAACGTGGCTCATTGCAGCAGGCAACATGGTTCGTTGCAGTGTGCAACATGGCTCGTTGCAGCAGGCAATGCGTCTTGTTGCAAGCTCCAGTAGCTTTTCTGTCCCACTTCGGGTGACAACATGTCCCCAGGTTACCCTGAGAGGTTCTGGTCCCACCCGCTGGAGCGGGGATCCCCGCGTGGGGCGAGTGCTGCAGGCCCCGGCATGTGCGCGGATTCATCCCTTCCTGCACAGCCGTGTGCTCGGAGCCGGCGTGCGCACCGTGCACGAGTGTGGGAACGGATCTGCTCGTGCACAGCTGGGCACGAAGAGCCGTGGGTGACGCGTGGATCTGCTTGGGAACACCTGGATGCACTCAGGTGCTCCCAGGCCCAGGGATCTGAGTCCCTGCCCAGCACCAC